CTGATTTATCTTTTTGAGACAGCTTTCTGCTGTTTCATGCAAGACAAGAATCAAGGTGTTCATTTATTTTAGATTCCAAAACTTCAGTTTCACAGACAGGACAACTGACATTTTTATCCTGCCTCATAGGATTGCTAGAACTTGCAGAGGACTGTGTAAATTCAGCTTTGGTTTTCATAGTTGTATTTATACTTGAAGTGACACCAGTACCCCCTTTTTTAATGAAATACTTTTCAAAGGCAGTTTTGTCTTCCATTTTTGGCCATCGCTGTGGTGTATTAATACATTCTAAGCTTTTTTTCTCAGATGCAACCTGAGCTGTTGTTGTCTGCTCCAGACAAATTTGTTTGGGTGGCCGGTCAGGAGACGGCAGAGCCCTCTTGTTATTTGCAGAGCCTTGATTTGATTTTAATTCCCTAACACGAGCCATTCTAGCAGGCAATCCACTATCGTTCTCGTAATCTTCTGTGTTAGCAACAGAGAGTTTAGGAAACTCGCGCTTTAAAGTTAAGTTGATCTTCTCACTGCCATCATCGGTATGAAGTGGAAAGATGCCACTATGGGGTAATTTTTCAAATTTTATCTCATTTTTAGGGATTGGTCTTGTCCTTACTGCTGAATGATGTTGTGAACCATGTGCTTCACTGTTTCCAATGCTGCTGCTGGCATTTGTGTCTTTTTCTGAAAGTACACTGTCTCCTCCTCCAAGCCGGTAACCCATTCCACTAAAAGGCATCAGATCTTGAGTACCATGCATTTGTGTCTTGCCTGCAAAATAAGATTAAAAAAAAAATTAGTAACTTTTCTGTTTAAAAATCATGGGCCTAGTATTTGACATGCTTCATACAAAACCTCTGCTACCTGAAAACAGTGCATCAAACAAAACTTTTTACAGACAATTCAGTTGAGAAGGAGCCTAGAAACGCACAAAAAACCAGGTCCTATTCTTTGCTTGATAACAGTAACATCTAAACAAAGCTTATGTAGTGGTTGGTCTATAAATGTTCCAAGAAAACGTTTGGAAAAAATCAGTTTGGAAAAGGAAAAGAAATAATTAAATACCTTTGTTCTTTGACTTGAAATGTGGAAGTTTTGCTGTCTCAGTTTTAGGCTTTGATTTCTTGGAGAACTTCTCTGGCTCTTTCACTTTTGTGAATGTGCCCCCACATGTCTTTTGATGGTCATCCCACCAGAGGTCGTGTGCAGAGGGTGCTCTGTTCATCGAGCGCTTCACATACCCAAAGTAAGGTCCTCTGTTTTGACAGGGGCCGTTGCATCGCCACCAGTGCTGGCGGTACACATCAACCTCATCATAAAAGTTATGATAAATCTAAGTAAAAAACCAAACCAAAACAATCAAACGGTCATTCAGAAAGTTTCTATTTTTATAACAATAGCTTACAATATTTTTTTAAAAATCCATCACCATTCCATTTTTTCCACTACTGCCATGATTTTTACATTACCAGTTAAAAGAGCTGAAGCCAGGTAAAATTTGATCAACATTTAGCTACCATTAAAACAAAGCTTAAAAAAAAAGGACAAGATGTATAGGAATATGTCCTGGCTATCTTGTTTGAACTGCAATAAAATAATTTTGGAAATCTATCTACAATTTCACCCTGAGCGATGAACTGTTTAGAATGCATTGCAAACCATACCAGTATTCTCCCTTCAGCTACTACCTTAATTGATCTTATCAGACACATTATTTTAAAGTATCACCGACATAATTATCATTAGCTTCTACTGAAATAAATCTTAACTAAAATAGACTGTTCTTCTACAAATACTACTCCGAACATGGAGCTATTTTATCCCTGCTATCATTAAGCTGTTTCGAGTTTACCACAAAAGCTTAAAGAAAAATACTTACAGAGAGTATACTTGAAAATTATACAACTAACAACTCACCACATCTTCCTCAACCTGTTCCCACCATTGTCCCCAACAAAATAACTATGGAACTGGCACACACTTGAAAGCAAATTTGTACTGGTACCAACTGTGGAGTGTCTGGCAAGAACAAGCATATTACTCATACCACACTGGACAACTAAAACACCAAATCAGGAAGAAGGCTCTATTAAATCAGGTTAAGAGGATTATGCTTACTGTGACATGGGCTCCAGTCAAGTGATTAATGCGACGCATGTGTTTGCAGAACTCTGGTCCATGAGATTCACGATCTTTGTAGTTATGAGTAACAAAGAGCAGGGCATGGATCATTTCATGCAACAGTGTCTGAAATTATGCAAATCATTAGATATTTACTGACAAGCATTACGTATAGTTTCAAAATTAAGCTGCAAGTATTTTAGTCCTCTACATCGATTGTGACACCGATCTTATCTTTGAGCATATGTTCAGTCTGGGTCACAAAAACATAATACTTTGACCTACAAAACCAAATTCTCATACTATCAAAACATACTGGAGAATATTTCTACAGTAAGTGACATTCCAAAAAGAAGAAATAATCCTCAAACTTAAGTCACAAATTATTCCCTCTACAATCCAAAGAAAGAGCCACTTGTGAGAAAGCTGAAACTCTACAGCATTTCTGTTCATTAGGAAAATCTGAATGTTCAGTCAGCTCAAAGAAGCAGTTCTGACAGAATCTGTTCAGTCTCAGATTCTTGTATGTTCCCCTTCCTAGTCTATTCTAAGTTTTGCTGATATACCATTTTTCGTTCATATTTGCCTTTCTGCTGTGCTGTAAAACTATCATAAACACTGAGAACCAGAGCAGCAACACGAGTACATGAGGTTTCCACAACAAGCAGCACAAAGTCATGTTAACTGTCATATTCTATATCCATATTTTCTGCTGTTGGCCCTTTCAAAACTACAGTCCATGTTTGTTTTGAACACTAAAGGATAATTTAAGAGTTAAAAACTTGGAGTCTTTTTTTCTCTTTATAAAGTCAGTAAAATAAACAAGTGACTTTAGACTCCTACTTGAAGTCGTCCATTTAGAAACATAAAACTAAATACTACCATGATATTGCAACACAAGCCACAAAAACATAACAGTAAAGCCACCACTATTTTATGATCTGTAAGTTACTGTTTGCAAGAATCTCACTAAGAAATGTAAAATGTTCATATGGAGCAAGGCAGGGGGGAGGCACAATAAATTTTATGTGCAGATTCATGACCAATCTTCAAATACCTCAACGAGATCCTTCCTTGGTCTTAACTTTAGTAGTGGCTCACTCAGACGAATGGAACACAATCCACTTTTATCATGATATGTACAGATTCCAGCACAGCTGAAAAGAGAGGCGGGAAGAAAATATGAAAATTTACTTGTTTCTGTAGTAAATGAAAAAAATGGAGAATTTAAGTTAAAATGCCATTCCCTTCCAACACACGCTAGGTCACTCAGAATATGAAAAAACAGCTTCTAGTAGTTACTTGAAAAATTCAGCATCGTTAAGAAAAGAAAAAAACCCGACAAGTACCTTAGAGTAGAAAAACCTGTTTAGGAGGCAGAGGACTGTTTCCTTTGGAACTCATGATGGAGTGAAACACACTAAATGGAGGCTAGAGATTCACTGCAGCAAACACTAACTTAACTGCCGGTTGCTTCAATTTCACTCCTCACCCTCCCTAAATTTTTGACTCATACTAAACCATCACTTCTGTGTGCTAATCCAGCAGAAAACACTTCTTTTTTTTTTTTGTGTGTGTGTGACTGAGTTAGTCCTCTACCAGTTCAATATCCAACGACTTTCAAGTGTCTAAAGAATAGTGCAACCAGCAGAGGATATGACAGGGCAGAACTCCAGCCACCAGCAAGTGCACCTTCTGCAGAACTGCACCCCGCACCTCAAAGCTTTCTGGTTTTGTTTAGTCTCAGATTCTTGTATGTTCCCTTCCTAGTCTATTCTAAGTTTTGCTGATATACCATTTTTCGTTCATATTTGTCTTTCTGCTGTGCTGTAAAACTATCGCAAACACTGAGAACCAGAGCAGCAACACGAGTACGTGAGGTTTCCACACAGTGTCAAGTGATTCCTTCCACTTTAACATCTCTCCGGGCTTGCCTGCACCCCGGGTAAAGCCACTGATAGCTGCCAGGGACGACAGATGAAAGGCAAACCAGAGAATGACAGCGACCCACCCATGTCCTGCTGTGCCAGCTATACCAGCGATGCGGGACATTAAGTATCTGGGAAGAGAAGCACCGCGCGCCTAAGGCGGCACAAGTAGGAGCAGCACGCAGTGACAAATGACAGCTCTTCCTCCCTTCCCCGAGACTCCCAGCCATGCGGCGAGACGGGCCGCTGCTCGATGGGTGACGGCCTCTTCCCACAGCTCTGAGCCCCTACCGGCAGCTGCCAGGGCCCGTCGGAGGTACGGCGGGCAGCTCCCGACACACAGCGGCGTCACTGCACCACCACCCGCCCCCCGGTGCTGCACCTGGTCATGCGGGGGCTCCAGGACACCGTGACAGCCTCCAGCTTCCTCCAGAAGAGCGTCTGGTTGAAGTGCACGAACAGGCCGTGCACGTCGGGGCTGGGGTCCAGCAGCTCCCACGCCTCGTCCACCACCGACAGCGGGCGGGGGGACGCGAGGTACGGCGGGACATCGGCGCGCTTTGCTGCTGCTGCTGCTGCTGCTGCTGCCGCCACCTCCTCCGCTGCCGCTGCCTTATCCTCCTCTTCCCATTCTCTCTGGAGCTTGAGCGCAAACAAGAAATCCTCATCCTCCATCTCGGGCATAGCTTCCGCCATGCTGATAAGTCATGCGCCGGGAAACGACGGCGTTCCGGCGCACGCGCAGCAGCGATCCATGGAATGCCGCCCCGTCCTTCCCCAATGCGCACGCCCCGGGATCCCCCCGTCCGAGGGCGGTGCGTCCCCACACGTCACCCTCGGCGGCCGCTCCCACTGGCAGGGCCGTGCTGGGCCGTGCTGTGCCGGACGGCGCAGGCGCGGCGCTCTCCCCAGCGGTGGCGGCGGCGGCGGCGGCGGCGGGGCGGGTGCTGGGCGGCGGGAGCGGCGGGACCATGGCGCTGTCGCTGGGCGAGGGCGGCGGCGGCGGGAGCCGGCTGCGGCGGCAGCTGGAGTCGGGCGGCTTCGCGGCGGGGGAGTACGTGAAGCAGCTGTCGCAGCAGTCGGACGGTGACCGGGACCTGCAGGAGCACCGGCAGCGCATCCAGGCGCTGAGCGAGGAGACCGCGCAGAGCCTGAAGCGCAACGTGTACCAGAACTACCGGCAGTTCATCGAGACGGCGCGGGAGATCAGCTACCTCGAGAGCGAGATGTACCAGCTCAGCCACATCCTCACCGAGCAGAAGGGCATCATGGAGGCCGTCACTCAGGCCCTGCTCCTCCAGGCCGACCGCGACGACCCCGCGCTGGGCGCTCGCCGCGCCGCCGCCGCCGACCCCTTCCTGCCGCTGTCGGCCAAGGATGCGGCGGCCAGCGAGGAGGGGCGGCAGCGCACCCTCACAACCCTCCTGGAGAAGGTGGAGGGCTGCCGCGACCTCCTGCCTGAGAGCCCTGGCAAGTACCTGGTGTACAACGGGGACCTGGTGGAGTACGACGCGGACCACATGGCGCAGATCCAGCGGGTCCATGCCTTCCTCATGAACGACTGCCTGCTCGTGGCCACCGCGCTGCCCAACCGGCGCGGTGCCTACCGCTACGACGCCCTGTACCCCCTCGACGGGCTGGCCGTGGTCAACGTCAAGGACAACCCGCCCATGAAGGACATGTTCAAGCTGCTCATGTTCCCCGAGAGCCGCATCTTTCAGGCTGAAAACGCCAAGATCAAGAAGGAGTGGCTGGAGGTGCTGGAGGAGACCAAGCGCAACCGGGCCCTCAGCGAGAAGCGGCGCCTGGAGCAGGAGGCCCTGCCCCGGCCTGCCCCAACACCCCCCGAATCCACCAACCCCTTCGATGAGGAGGAGGAGGAAGAGGAGGAGGAAGAGCCCTCTGCTGAGGAGGAGGTTGTAGACCTCTCACTTGAGTGGATCCAGGAGCTGCCTGAGGACCTGGATGTCTGCATTGCACAGCGGGACTTCGAGGGGGCAGTGGACCTCTTGGATAAACTCAATGAGTACCTGGGGGACAAGCCTGTGAGCCAGCCCGTGAAGGAGCTGCGGGCCAAGGTGGACGAGCGGGTCCGGCAGCTCACAGACGTGCTGGTGTTCGAGCTGTCTCCAGACCGGTCGCTGCGAGGAGGGCCGCGGGCCACCCGCCGAGCTGTGTCCCAGCTCATTCGCCTGGGACAGTCCACCAAGGCCTGTGAGCTCTTCCTGAAGAATCGGGCAGCCGCGGTGCAGACGGCCATCCGACAGCTGCGCATCGAGGGTGCCACGCTGCTCTACATCCACAAGCTCTGCCACGTCTTCTTCACCAGCCTTCTAGAGACGGCCAGAGAGTTTGAGACGGACTTCGCTGGCAACAACGGCTGCTACTCGGCCTTCGTTGTCTGGGCCCGCTCTTCCATGAGGATGTTTGTCGATGCCTTCAGTAAGCAAGTGTTTGATAGCAAAGAGAGTTTGTCAACTGCGGCAGAGTGCGTCAAGGTAAGAGGGTCCAAAGAGGGTGGTGGGACACGAAAGTCAAAACAAAGGCTGCAAAGCTTTAAATCATCTTTTCTAACCAGAATTTAGCTATTGACTCTTAAGCGGGTCTCCAGAGATGTTTCCTGTGTTGAAGGTTAATATTCATTTGAGGTTAGTTTGGTTTTTTAAAGTTTAACAGAGGAAAGCATTAAGATTAAAAATACACAGCAAGAAAAACCTTGCCTTTATTGGAAATGCAAAATGTGTTTATTCTTAATTTGCCTTTAACCAGTAGGAGATCCTAAAGTTTAGATGAGTTATATTTGAATTATAAGTACATCAAAACTTTCTCTTTGTTTTCCAAGGGTGTCCTGGACTACATTTCCATATTTTTTGGCAAGACTAACTTTTTCAGGTTATGGGTGTGTGAGCGGATTATTGTGCAGAGTATTTTTGCAGCCAGGGTTTATCTTTCAGTTATTACTTTCTCATTAATAAGGAGATTCTTAAAGCATGAGAAACATGTGAAGTATGAATAACACTTCTCACTTTTCTGACAATGATAAATTTGATAAACTGGTAAGACATAAAAGAGGTCTGCACATTAATAACATCCTTTGCTTTTCATTAATACCCAAGGTAGCTAAAGAGCACTGCAAGCAGCTTAGCGAGATTGGACTGGATCTCACCTTTATCATTCATGCCCTTCTGGTGAAGGATATCAAAGGCGCTTTACAGAGCTACAAGGATATCATCATCGAGGCCACCAAGCACCGCAACTCTGAGGAGATGTGGAGAAAGATGAACCTAATGACTCCAGAGGCACTGGGGAAGCTCAGGGAGGAGATGAGGAGCTGTGGGGTGGGCAATTTTGACCAATACACAGGTGATGACTGCTGGGTCAACCTTAGTTATACTGTAGTAGCTTTCACTAAGCAGACTATGGCCTTCTTGGAGGAAGCTTTAAAGCTTTACTTTCCAGAGCTGCATATGGTTCTTTTGGAGAGTCTCGTGGAAATCATCCTGGTGGCCGTCCAGCATGTTGATTACAGTTTACGCTGTGAACAGGACCCTGAGAAAAAGGCATTCATTAGGCAGAACGCCTCTTTCCTGTATGAAACTGTCCTTCCTGTTGTGGAAAAAAGATTTGAGGAAGGAGTTGGAAAGCCAGCCAAGCAGCTACAGGATCTGAGAAATGCTTCAAGATTGATGCGTGTAAATCCGGAAAGTACCACCTCTGTGGTGTGAAGTGACCTAACTGTTCCTGTGGACAAAGTGTGGAAGCACTTACTGAAAATGTTGTACATTGAATATATGAACTCAATAGGGTTTTTTTGAGTCCCTGAAAAATGCAGAACTCTGAACTGCTGCATTCCAGAAGCTGAAGATTTAGAATCAATGCCTGCAAGCATGGAATGCTTTACTTGGTGGATGGGGGCTGGGAAGGTGAGAAGGTCGAGGTCACATGTCCTCGGATGGCATATCCTGTAAGAAGGGCTTTTGTAGTGTTTGTGATTTGGGAAATAACTGTAATACAATTTTTGGCTAATTGTCTGTGAAAGTCTTAAATATATGTACAGCATATGACAGGAAAAGATCAGTTCTCATCATGTCACTGTAGGAATTCTTTAAGGCAGAGTTCTGATAGGAGGGGAAGTGCTGGAGCACTCCCAGGGTGTGGTATTTGGTGAGGCACGTCCACCATCCAGATGTGACTCAGCACTGCAGATAAATGACATGGATTTGCACAGTGTGATTTGTGTGGTAACAATGCAGACTTTTCCATTTTTGTAATATTCAGATTATCTTCATTTCAGAGGCAGATCTAAATTAAAAATGTTTTCAGTATAAGTTTTGGTGTTTGGGTGAAGGGGCTTCTTCTTTTAATAAGCTGGCCTGTCAGCTTAAATTGCAGCTCTCTGAAAACAAACCTGCTGTCAGAACCATTTGTTCCCTTCAAGAGGAGTGAGAATAAACTGCATCCCTTACTCTCTGTGTTCCTCTTCCATGTTTTCTCATAGATTTCATTGGGGTCATGTCCACTGAATGAAGTGTGCACTGTTTCTTGAGGTGCTGTCATAAATGCGTTATAGGCCTTTATCTGCTGGTAGAAACCAGAGTGAAGAGGCCTAAATGTTGCTGAGACTTGCGAGGCAGGGAGAGAGTCTGAAGGTGCTGTTTTGTTTGGAAGAGACAGAATGCTAGTTTTGCTGTACAGAAGCAGCACCTGATGAAGAGACTGTGTTGAGGCTTTTGGTAAATGATGTGATCTCCAAATTACAGAGTCTCCTGCAAATGCTATCGTTTCGTGTAATACAGCAATAACCAGTGAGAACTACCTTTTTTGCAGAAATCACAAAGATTTGCTTGGGAACTCTGATGTTAATGGGAGAAGTTTATACAAACGCTTGTATGTTTGGATTGAATGGTGATGGCTGTCTGGTGCAGTGTATGTCTGTGAAAATAAAATAAGCCAAGTCTTGTGTCAAGGCTGGCTTTAGAAAGCTGTCAGCATCAACTTCTGAGCTGGGTAAACTTCTTCCCCTTTGATACAAACTTTCTTATTTGTGAGAAAATCATGTTACAGCTAAATAACCTTGTACTAGTCCCTCAGTAAGTGTTCTTTACTGTAATAATTGAGTATCCTGTTCCTCTAGCACTTCTGAATTAAAGCTTTTGCAATTTCTATTGTGTTAATGAATGCCTTGTGACTGCCCGAACAAACAGCAGATGTCACTAGTAAAACATTCTGCATAACTGCTTATACTGGAGCTTCTTCATTTCTGCCTATTTTCACAGTGCTAGTTCAATGCAGTTTTCACTTCAGTGGCTGGTTTTTGTTCTCTTGCTCTTTGAATGCCTTTTGAACTGTCAGATTTTGCAAAGCATCCTACTGCCTCTGCTCACTTGCTTTTCAGTGTGTGGGCCTTTTGCTAGCAAATCATGGAAGTAATACAAAATGTTTCTAAAGGGTAACTTAACTCATTGCTCCTAGCTGAAACTGATTGAAAGCCACTGAAATAGCTCTAGTTTTGTTTTGAAGGACAGGGACAGTGAGAGTTAGAACTTATGTGAACATGTTATGTCCAAGAGAGAGCCCCACGGGTTATTTCACTAGTGAACTATTTTTGATACCATAACCTAGTGAAGTATAGCAAAGTGATACAATCCCTGTCATGTTGAAAGTGGGCCAAGATAGCAACCTGGCCTAACTTAATCTGAGAAATACTTTCAAGTGGATTATAAGTGAGAGCTCTCTGTGGTGATGGGTGTTTTGGAGGAGAGGGAATGGCTTTTTTTTTTTTTTTAAGAACACAGGTATATTTCATTATTTTCTTTACAGCAGAAGAAAGCAGAATAAATACAGATGAGCCTTTTTGTGTGTGTGTGTGTGTGTGTGTGTGTAAGAGAAGGGTAAGATCTGGGACTCGACTGATTATGGCGATGCTTGAGGATTTTACATAAGAAGCTGAATTATAGCTTCCTGATTCCCAGCGTTGGCATAAGATTGGATAGGAGAACAGCCCTATTCACGCTTCTATTTCAAGGTGGTGCTTACTCTCATCGGAGGACAAAATGTAGAATGTAATTCTGCCATGTGCTCTGTTATGCCTCTGTCACTGAGCCCTTCATCAATCTATTTATAGCACACAGAGCCTACTGATTTTGTCTTTGCTGTCATCCATGGAGCAGTGGGCTTACACTGATGTTGGTTTTAGTGGATCAGGGAATCTAGCAATTCATTTGGGTCATCATATATTCTGTTCTTGTGCCTGTCGCAATTCAAACACACCTGTGGATTTGTATAAACTGCACTAGGTAGCATTGATATTTTGCAACTTGTGAATCTATTGAAGTCATAGTAAAAGAAAAACAATAATATGAAGAAAATGGTGTGCAATTAAATGAAACATGCTTTGTTAGTTCAGTTAACAGAAAAAAATTATGATAACAGTTTTGTTGATTTGAGAAAGAACTAGGTTGTTGGGGTTTTTTTTCTTTACACAACTGCATATAAAATCTGGTTTCCTTTAGCTGCTGTGAAAAAATTGTGATGTGTAAAATGAAGATTTTTTTTTTAATTGAGATGAACTTATATAAGGATTTAATGCAATAACTTTTCTGAACAATGAAGACCATGTATTAAAACTTCTAGCCATACGACAGTAGTGGTGTGTTTCTGGTTTTATTGCATCATCATCAGAAAGAGGACAATTCACAGTTGGAGTCCACTTAATACATTTCTAGTGAAGTCAAAGAGCTTCAGGTCAGTCCTTTGTGAGGGAGATGTAAGCAGTAGCCAAGTGATGAAAGCCAGGTGATGTCACTTCAGTTACATTCTTACGAAGTGACTTGAGTGAAGTTGGAAGAAAATGTTTTCTCGACATTATATCTGATTTGAATTGAGTACAGGCTGTACTTTAGTCTAATGGGACTTCGGGTGTGTGAGGTAATATCAACACCAAGGCAGCGTAACCCTTTAGGGTTTGTTACCTTCCAGACATTATTTTGTGGCTGGAGTCAATCCATACTTAACTTGAATGCTGAATGTGCAGTACAACCCATCTTCTCACTAGATGGAGTTTTTTGCACTGAAACCTCAGCAAGACATGGACAGGCATGGGCATTAAAGCTGTGCTGCCTTGCATTGTGGCTTGGCATGTTTTGGTTGCATGCTGGGGGATGAAGATGCTGCAGTGAATGCTTCAGATGCTAAGCTCAGCTCTTTTTGCTTCCTTGGTAGTGCTTTACTTCTGCATTTTCTACTTGTACTGTTCATTTTTTAATTCTTCATGTTTTCTTTTCCTGCTGTGTTTCTTTACCATTGGCAGGCATTCTGCAGAGTATCTCACCTTTCTACTTTTCCTAAAGGTATGTACCAACATGTGACTTTTGTTCTGCCTGAGAAACACTCTGCTAGACCTCAAGCCCCTGCAGAGATGTGAAAAGTTGCTTGTCCCAGCTTCAGTTGTAAGATGTTCAGCTTAATGACTTCTCAAAGTCAAGCCTGTCGTTTTACTTCAATATTGGACTGACATTCCTATGAGACTTCATGCTCACAGCGCAGCTTTGCATTCCAGCACAGTAACATGGAAGGTCCCCACCACCAATCTTCATAACTTATACACTCGTTATATTCCCTCTGCTGCACAACTCATACAATTTAATTGGGTTACCTTTTACTTAAAAATGTTAGTAGTTCTGCAGACTCTTCAGTGTATTTTCTCTGAAGAAAATCAAATCCAGGATGGGGCTTATCTGTTAAGCAGCTTTGTGAGCACAGGCTGTAGCCATATCTTTTTCCTCACATGTTGAAGGATTGTGATATGCATTCAATCCCTACAAATTCTGAAAGGTAGTGGAGAAACATTGCAAATTGCGGGGAAAATAGATTTATGCTCTTTATCATTTCAAGGGAGTGGATGACTGGAGTAATAGATCGGAATTTGATTAAGCCACCTTGGACACAGAGTTTTTACCTCTTGTGTATTTAGGAAACTTTGCTAATAAAGCTTTAGTGGCCTCAACGTGCCCTGTAATACAGTTCTCAACTTCAGCGTTACAAGCTGAACTAGATTCTCTGCTACAGATGTGCTCTGTTTGACACATCAGAGAGAAAGTACTAGCAAGAGGCCTGGTCTGTGCTGACCTGTGAGCAGTATTACCCTTCCCAATGGTTTATGTTGAAACAGGAGGGTAAGCCCAAAAGAGTTAACTAAGAAACTTGGGCCTACTAACAAGTTACTTACATTCAAAACGATTTGTTCTGTACTGCTAACTGGACCAAAGCTTAACAGAGTGCTAAGGTACATGTAATGGGCCTAGAGGCAATAAATTAAGATTCAGTAAGCTAAAGTAGACATTTGAATAGGAGAAATAGGCCGGGAGCCAGGGCTTTCTCCAAACTTGAGCGAGCGGGTCAAGAACAATGGAAAGGAAGAAAGGTTGGACTGAGGAAGATGAGAATACGCCCCCTCCCCATGGGATGAAGATGGGATCTCCCCCTAAAATTGGGGATAGAGAGAAGCGCCGCCCCAAGCTCCGCCTGAGCTCCACCTATACTCCGCCTGTTATCAATATGTATGAATAGATGCTGTAATCACTTGAATATGCATTTAATCACACCTGAAAAATTGTATAAAACTGCTGATTTTGTGTGAAGCCTTTGAGCAAGTTTTTCCAGCAATAGCTGGCTTGCTCCCAGCGCTGCTAATAAATACCTTTGCTGCTTAAAGATAAAAAGTCTCTGAGCAGTTTCTCAGACCGATTTTTCGGATTCAATGTGACTGATCAGAGCAGTTTTAAGGCAATTTCAGATCACCCTTCTGTGGCCCTGTGGTATTTATTCTCTCTCCCTCCCCATGCAGTAGCTGAATTCCTTTCGATGGCCTGAGCATCCGACTTCCCACACAAGCAGAAGATATTACCAGAGGTTGGACAGAACCTGCTCCCCCAATTACTGGAAGTGAGCTATGATGGGCAGGGTGACCAGCGGGGGTCCCACAAGAACTCTGCATTGATGAGCATCACCTTGGTACAGGGAAAACAGGCGCCTGCTGTACAGGCAAGCAGAGAGGATTGCATTCAATTTGTTCTCATAGACCAGTACAAGAGCTAAAAGCAAGTATGAAAGCTGAGAAATTAATCTCTTCACGTTATGGCAGGAGCTGGCCTCTGAGGCATTGGCTTAGATTACCCAAAATATAATTTGGCCCTGCAGCTGTTGGAAATCTTGTTCAGATGTGCTAATATGTTGACATGTGATTATTGAATGTACTGCACTAGGAAGGTGAACCAGGGAGAAGAGCAGGTAATGCTAACTTCACTGCTGCTTGGGAAATCCTTGGAGATGCTTGGATTAATGATGATGTTAAGTTATTAAAGAAAAAAAAAAGCATACAGCTCATCAGCTAATTGCACCAACACACAGTTCTTTCTTTGCCCTTCCAGAAAGCTGATCCAGATAAAATAAAAATGCTCATGAAGGTGAGAGAGTTAGTAAAATTCTTTGTGGTATGAGGCATGTGAACCTAAACATTTGCAAACTTGGGCAAAATTAAGATCTGAACTTCCAACACCCCCCAACCTGCCTATGGAGTGAGGGAAAACTTTGCCTCAAACTTTTCCACACTTCTGGTCTTTGAGTTTCCTGAGTTTTCAGTCATTCTTACTGCTCCTAAAAATCACAATTCATAGACTACAGTCTGTACCAGTCTGATTTGTTCAGACTAAAGTGTTTTGCTTTGTTTTGTTTTAATTATAGCTTTATAGCACTGTTGCAGTCTGGAGATTCCTATTATGTTCATTTTCAGTTCTTCAGACCCAGTATTCACAATAGGAAGGAGCCTAGCTCCCAGCCTCAACTCCTGCAGGATGGAGTTGTCAGGAGAGTACTTGAAGCTCTGCAGAGAATCCTTCCTTCCTCAGGATTCAGTGAATTTTTGTCTCAAAATGCACGTCTCTGATAAGCAGCTCCCATTCTGCTTTTTTTCCGCCTCACTAACAATTGGCAAGATTGTTTGTTTTCCCACTCCACAATATAACTTCTACAGCAGAGGTGCCAGATTGGCTTTGTGGAGGAAGGAGGCCAAAATGCATGTTGGGTTCGTCTGTGTATGTCTTAACATAATTCAGGCTATGAACCTCCCTGCTTGCTCTCACCAATGACAATGTCACTTGAGAGGAGGGCGACTGGGAGGGTTGCAAGAAAAGATCTTTGTGCCTCTGACCTAAGCACACACTGGAGAGCATAGTATGTCCTCCTGAATTTGAGAGTCCCTATAGTCAGAGGTAATCAGATGCTAAAGTGCCTTTCATGAGTGGAGCATCAGTAAATTTCTTTCAAATTTAGCAAAACCAACTGGCAAAGCAGCGATGGGGGGGCAACACTAGAGCAATGGCAGTGCATGAGCAAAAAAGTGTGTGTTTCTGGGACACCTCAACTCTAGTGTGACAAATTGTTGTCCCAAACAAAGCCTGCCTCTTCTTCAGTGGGAGCAGTAGGCTCCATAAGTCACTACTGCTGCAACTTTCCAGGAGGCAGCAATAACAGAGTTGGACATGCTAAAATGAAGTTGCTTCATCTGACTGGCTGTAATGTGTGACACTGTGTTAGGGTAGAGGAAATGCCCTTGGGAGAACAACAATACTTAGTGAAAGGTGCACAGCGAGGCCGGATCAGCTGCTGTTCTGAGATGTGGCACCAGTGCTGCCTCGTGTAGTCCCGGGCTTCTGCCATACACTATTCTCCCTCACTACCCAACCCCAGAACTTCCCACAGTGAGCATTTTCTTCCTGCTGTCCACTGGACTGAAATAGGTCTCCTCCCTCCCAGTGGGATTAAATCCCATCTTGTTTGCTTGGTGACAAGTGATGTGTGTAGTGAGCAGAAGGCCCCTGTGCCACCACCACCCACCATCTTCACACCAGATAGCCCCTCTCCTGGTGTGCCTGTAATCAGTCACGACTTTTTGTTGTCCCTTGAAGTTTATTCCATTTAAATAGCCTTTCAGCCTGAGACTTCCTGGAGTTTCTGCCTCTGCTGCCTCCTGCTCTGTAAAATTAATGCCGGTAAGATTGTGTCCTCACAGGAAAATGGTAAGGATTCAAGTAAGCTGTTTTAGAAACTGTCTTAAACCCACACAAGTCCTTCTGTGGCCCTTTAGCTTTGACTGGAGCACTTTCTGTATACTTGACTTGGGGGCGCTTAGACAGGAAAGTGTTTATTTCCAACCAAAATTACAGCACTGAATCCTGCTGTCTGGGGCAATGTTTTTGACTACTGTGGGCAAACTCCATATTTAACTCAGTTTGTGTTTATAGGCCTTGAAGATTTAAGGGCCAAACTGCAAATGCCTTTAATCAGGAAGCAATTAATTGCACAAATTTCCTCCTTGCAGCCAGTGTAACACTCAACCAGGTAATACTCCTTTGAGGCTATGGCTCATGCCTGTGCACTACTTTTATTATTGTATATCTCTGCTAATTAGTTCCTGTTGGATGGTAGGCCAGGTTGCTACAGGGGGTTTGGATAAAAGGTATAATAAGTTAAGTCAATCTAAAGATAGCTTTAATAAGAAAATCAAATGGTTTTCTTTCCTGTTAAGCTTTTTTTTTAATTATTATTATTTTTCCTAAAGAAAACTCGCAAGCAGAATTGATGCTT